GTCTGACCCCAAATGCAACTGAATTCTGAAAGGGGATGGTTCGGACGAAGCTGAGAGGAATATATTCCACATATATTCCACAGAGAGTGGCTCCCTCCCCTAGAAATGAAGTAATCTCTCCATTTTGGGGCCAGAGAGGCTGAAGGCCTGGAACTGTGAAGAGTTGAATCAGAATCCTTGATGTTTGGAAGAAGCTTGGGGCCAATCCTTTACCTTCCTAGGCTGGCCAGACATGTTCCCCAGGATGCCAATGGGGCTGAGTACCTTAGAGTCATGAAGCTATGGAGCTGGAAAGAGCTGCAGAATGCATGTGCTCTACTGGGGGAAGCAAAGCCCTGTGCTAGAATAGCCTCCATTCTGATGGGAGACTGGCTCTGCCTTACAAAAACTTCAGGCCGGGGTGGAAAGTTGTGGTAGACCTGCATCAACTCAGGATTTGGCAAGAGAATAATCAGCTTCAGAGAGAGTATGTAACTTGTCCAAAGTCACACAGCAAGTACAAGCAGGGCAGTGCTTTCCCCCTCACCTTGTAATCCCAGGTCCCTTTCCTCCCTCCCTGGGCTAGTTGCTGTCAGGGCAAGGGAGCAGAGAGATCAGTGCAGACACCTGAGAAGACAGAGCTTGGGTGCCTGTGCCATGGCTAGAATTGATGGCCATGTCTGGGAGCTGTGGGATGTGCCAGGAAGGGCTGGGATGGGAGCTCTTGCCTAGAGCTCAGGGAAAGGAAGGAGACAAGGCTTCAGAGAACAAAGAAAATAAAGTCATAATAAAATTATTGAGTTTCTGTGGCCATTCAGTCTCCCTCCCCAGCTGCTCACCAGGGAAAATATTCCCAGAAAATAGGAGATGGAGAGCTAGGAAAAGGGGTGGGAGAAGGGAGAGATAGAGAGAGACAAAGAGACCAATCCTCCCTGGCTGCCCCGCCCACAGTCCCACACAGGGAAGCCCATCTGTGTATTCCTGGGTATGTTTCAGTCTGTTTCTGCATATGCTGAAGTCCCTGTGCATCTTCTTGGTTCATTCCTGTGTGCTTCTCTCTGTAAGTATATAACCTTTGTGTGTATTTCTCTGTATATGTCCACGTATAGCCATGGGAAAGCTTCATGCACATGTGCTCATGTGTCTCGGTGTGGCTTTGCCCACTTCATGTATGTATGCTGTTGTGTGTGTCTGCCTGCCTGTGTGTGCACACACAGGTGTGTGTGCCCTGAGGGTCCCTATGCCTGGGACCCTGCATCCACCTGTCTCCATGTATTTGTCCGGGGCCTTTGTATTTTGAAGTTTGGGGTGGAAAAGTTCCCCCTTTTGAACCAATCTGAACAGACCAGGAAAGGGGGATCCCTAAGATTTTTTTGACTTGTAAGGTAAGAGAGAGAGCAGTCAGCAGTTGCCAGGGACTCCCTGGCTCCCCCAGGTCCAACCACCAAGTTTCTTAGAGAAGAGATGGGGCAAGGGTTGGATGGGGAGAAAATGGAGCTGAAGGAGCCCCTCCTCTTCCCTCCTTGGAATGGGAGAAGCAAGGAGAGAGCATGAGAGGGAAAGGAAGGTAAGAAAGAAATTCTTTGGGGTCAGTGAATTTTTCTTTTCCATCATTATTATTAAAAACATTACTCATCGCCTGGAACAGGGCCTCCCAGGTACCCTAGACCCTTGAAAACCAGCTACCTCATGGGCAGGGTTTAGAGTGGTCTTGGCAGAGGCCTGAAGCCACTTTTGTCTCTGCTCCTGCCTCCTGGCTTCTACCTCTGATTCTCTGTTTGCTCCATTACCAGCCCGGCTCCCACCTCCTCCTAGGCCAAATGAGCCCTGGCAAGGAAGGAGTTATTCCAGGTGCCTTGAGGTGGAGAACCCCTGCAGGATGCTTTTCTGAAGGGAGAGGCTTCAGCGGCCCTGAGGACAGAAAGCTGAGAGGAGATTTGCCACCACCACAATGGAAGGAATTGAGATTAGACGCCAAGCAGCACTAGAAAGGGTGAGATGAGGGGAGGAGAGAGTGTCTCATCACTCTGTTGGAAACAGGAAGCCAGTGGATGCCTTCTCTGGCCCTTCCCCTCTCTACCCACATCACATGTAAGTTCTGGGGAAATCCATGATCTACAAGCCCCGTCTACACAGGCCTCATCTACCCGAATAACATTCCAGTGATTCTGGACACAATCCCAGCGGCAAGTCCAGGCATCCAAACTCAAATGAGGTTTGGAGCTGAGTAATCAGCTGTTAGGGCTATGCAGACATTTTGTCGGGGAACAACCAGCTCCCCGCCCCCACCTTGCAGAGAGGATTTGGGGTGGGGGAGGGGCAGTCTGTCACTCAGTGTCTTCCCAGCTCCCTCCCACCAGCACATTCTCCCCTCATCCCACCTGCAAGTAATTTGGCCAATGGGAGGGCAGTTAAGATTGCGGTGTGGAATCCTTCTGGTCTGTGTGCATTTGGTGGAGAGGGGGCTACCTCCTTTTCCCCAGACCCCGTGTGCCCTTTTCCTCTTCACAGCAGCAAATTACTTGTAATTATCTCACATTGAAGGACTTTAGGAGCTGCTCCCAAAATTGCTTTAATTGAATTAATTGAATCTCATTTTGTTGGGGGAGAAGATGGGGGGCATGTCTTAAAATAGCATGGGGAGAGGGAAGGGAAGCCCCAAGTCAGGTTTCCTGTGGCTGAGACCCTTGAAGGTAAAAGACTGTGTCCCGCACTCTCTGTTCCCATGTTCTAGTCTCAGCTGATTTCAGAAGCCCACTGCTGCCAGCTCTTTTGCATTTGGGACCTTGCCTGTGTCCTGCTCTCAAATGGGCCCTCAGTGGCCACTCAGACTCCCCAAACACACATGGAAGTTTTCCTGGGAATGGCAAATGGCATGGGGCAGGCCAAAGCCAAGATCTGGGAGAAGCAAGGAATGATGGTGCCAGGAGCAGAAACCTCGTCTTTCTCTGCACCAACACACCATCCCCTGTCCTAGCCTTGGGGTGGCCAGGAATGTGTGTAGTTCTTTAGGCTCCAGCCCCATTCCTCCTCCCTACCCTCAGGAGGCAGATTGGCCAGAGGCAGAGGTGAATGGATGGCAGGGCAGTATGAACTCACCCTTGCTATGACCCCTCCTCGCTGATAATCACACAGCAGCTATAAATGCCATTTATTAAGTGCTTACTATGTTCCAGGCACTGTGTCAAGCATGTTACAAGCACTATCTCATTTCAGCATCATAACCACACTGTGAAGCAGGCCCTATTAGTGTTCCCATCTTAGAGGGAGGAAAATGAGGCTCAGAGAGAGGTTAAATACCCTTCCAAAAGTCAGATAGCAGAGATGGGAATCTGGAGGGCAAAGCCCCCTTCTTAACCACACAATCTTGTCCCCTCTTCCCTTACTGAGTCAGTATTCCCAGAGGGCGGTCCTCAGGGGAAGAAGCTACAGGTCTCCCTTCTACAGTGTAGATGACTTGGAGGGGAGGAATGGGGCACCTCCTCTAATGGGGTTCCAATTCCATCATCATCACCCAGAGGCCTTGGGAAACTGGACCAGCCCCCAAGTGGACAAGGACTCCAATTACCCCAGGAAGGTCGGATGGAAGGCATAGGGAAGAGGAGATGCTGTCAGCTCAGCAAGCCTCTGGCTGGGAGAATAATTATGCTTCTCTTGCAAGGTAACTTTACAACCTGGGCTGTTGTTTTAATGATGTGACTCGTGTTGGGCTGTCCAATTAATCTCGCCTTTGGAGGCTTTCCGAGTTGGGGCGGTAGATCTTATCTCAGGTCTGTGGAAAGAGGAGTGTGCTACCTGCAGTGGGAGGAACAGCCGCCCCAGGGCCTGTGGTCTCAGAGGAGACCTCCCAGAGGAGGGGCCAGGGCCACTGAGAGCTGGTGCCACCCCGAGGCTAGGACAGGGGATGATGTGTCAGTGCAGAGAAAGAGGAGGTTTCTGCCCTTGGCACATCATCCTTGCTGCTCCTGGATCTTGGCTTTGGCCCACCCCATGCCATTTGCCATCCCCAGGAGAACTTCATATGTGTTTTGGGTAGTCTGGGTGGCCACTGAGGGACTGATTGCAGGTCTCTGGAGGTAGGTCGGGGCTTCCATTGACCTCTGTACCAGCTGTATTCTACAGAAGACCCCAATTTGGGCCTCTCTGGCCAGTAGGCCCTAGTGAGCTTTTCAGGCTGGGGCAGCCCCAGTTTGTAGCACTGGGAAACAGGGTTAGGCAGTAAGCCAGAAGATGGACTTGGGAGCTTTTTGCCGTGAACTGGAGTCCCCTCCCCCAATCCCTCAGGCCAGGCTGAGCTGGATTCCCTGAATTACTGGGCCCTGTCCTCAGCTTCCCTGAGGCTGGCCACTGTGTGGGGCAGGATGCAATAGCCATGAACCTACTGCTGGGTTCAGGCTGAGTTGAAGCCCCCACGTGAGCTCTGCCCTCTGCACTGCCCTTACATACTGCACACATGGCTGGGCATGTGTCTGGTTCCCTCATTAGCCCACAGGGTCTGCCTCAGTCAGTTTGGTATCCCCAGGATCTCACACAAAGCAGAGGCTCTACAGATGTTGGCTGGATGGAGCAGAAGTCCAGTTCCTTCTGGGGTTTAGCTTCTCCTCCTCCTCCTCCTACGAAGGCTGGGGCCTTTCCACCCCAAGGAGCACACTGAGGGGAGTGGGCTGGCTCAGCGGGTGTGTCCTCTCAGAAGGTGAGCAGGGGCTGAAGGTGGTTCACAGGGGACTGTGAGGTGCCTGGCTTCCTCCAGAACTGGGCTAGGAGAGAATTTGCCAGTGAGGATCACTCAGACTTCGGTCACTCCCAGCATTAGCAGTTTCCAGTTTCATATAGGAGCATATGAAAATGGCCATTATTAGAACATTCCAGAGCTAGAACCACAGCACTAGTTAGTGGTAGAGGCAAAACTAGGATCCAGTCCTCTGGTTCATTCAGTGCTAGAAGAGTCAGATGGCAGAGAAGAGAGATGAGTATCCCCCACACCCTAAAATCAGGAAACAAACATACTTCACAGCCAGGAACCAGGTTTTTGTAAGAACTTTAATCTCTGGAAGCTCATGGTATGGGAGACGGTAAGAGCTTGGGGGATGCTAGTCCAATTGGTTATAAATATGAGCACTTTCTTTGGAGAAAGACAGCTGTGAGGAGCTAAACTGCCAGGCCCACCTCACCTATTTGGGGGTGTCCCTACTTACAGTCATCCAGGGAGCCTGTTTGTCCCCATTCTTCCAAAAGTGTTACCCTATTGGGTTCCCAAAAGTATGTACATTTGTGGCTGCTAGGCACCAGGGGTGGGGAACAGGAGGGGATGGGCTCTTCATAAATACCCGTTGAATTATATGGATAATTGGATACACTATTTACTTAAAATGAGTAGATATGGGGTAGAGGCTTTCTTAGGGAGAGAGCATAAACTACCCATAGATCCATAAACTCCACATTTTCAGCATTCCTGCTATTGTAAAGGATGGGGAATAGGTGAATCAGTTACGGGGCCAATCTTCCTTAACAAAAAATCTGTGTACAAGCTAACAGTAATCAACTTGAAGACTGTGGATACCCATTTCACTTCTGCCCTTGCTTGCGAAAGGGCTGGGTAAGGCCCAAGGCACACAAAGAGAAAAAATACTCAGTGTTTCCTGCTGGTTTTGACCCAGGCCGTGGTAGGACGGCAGTCCTTTCAAGGAAGGGGTGGCAAGACTTGGAGACCTTGGAGCAGTCTGAGCTCCAGTCAGTGACTCTCTTCCAGAACCACTGACAAGCTGGAAGGCAGGTGTCCAGCTCGTGGTAGTGGTGGTTGGGGGGCAGTGGTTAAGACCAAAGTCTTTGATTAGACTGTTTGGGTTATGGGGCATAGGGGACAGGACTTCACCCCATCCTTTTTCTCCTTTAGCTTCTTGTCCTCCTGAGATAACCCATCTGGAGCTGATGTCCTCTGGGCCTGGAAGGGGTGTAGGTGAGCTGGGTGCTGGCTTTGTAGGAAGACTAGGGCCTGACCCACCCCTCCCGACTCACATCATCTGAGCTGGAGCCAGAACATCTGTGGAGTGATGCTGATACCAGGTTCCAAAGCTGTTACCATAGCCACTGGTGGGCAGAGCCGCTGCCTTGGGCAGATCCCAGAGAGTTGGAAGCAGTGGGGCACAGGAAGACAGGGAGGGGGGCCTCCCAGAGAAGTTCCCTTCTTGCCCCCCAGAGTTTTGCTTCAGGAACTTCTTGTATTTGGAGCGTTTGTTCTGAAACCAGATCTTTACCTTTGGGGAGAAAAGGGGGAAAGAATGTAAGATCAGCAGGAGTATATGTGTGACAAGGTGTGACAAAGGAAAGAGACTCTGAGGTAGGAGGGAAGTCGTGGGAGAAGAGGAGAGGTTGGGAATGTTTGCTGCAGTCCTCCATAGCCCCTGAAGTGCCCTGGCTTCCTCCCTCTGAATTGGTATCCAATTCTCCTGGTCCAGGGACCCTCCTGTACCTGAATCTACCCTCTCTCCCCAACACATACCTTTTAACACACTCCCCTAACAGTTACTGAGGGCCAACTCTGAACACACCCTGGAGAACTTGGACAACAGGGTTAGGGGAACTGGTCATTCACACCTGGAGGGGGAGTTTCCAGAGAACACCTGGGGAAGGTTAGTGCTTAGGAAACTGGGACTGGCCCACCTGGGTCTGGGTGAGGCCGAGCTGCGCGGCCAGCTGGGCCCTCTCGGGCAGTGCCAGGTACTGCGTGTGCTGGAACCGCTGGTTGAGGTGCTGCAGCTGCAGGCTCGAGTAGATGGTCCGGGGCTTGCGGAGCTTCTTGGTCGGGGCCTGCGGGCACTGCTCTGAAGGCTCCGGGGAAGCCGGAGAAGGAGGCCGCTTCTCTGAATCTGGGGGGCAGACAAGACGGTGTGCTTGGGATGCTGGGAAGGTCGGACGCACAGGTTCGGAGGCTCGTTTGCATCTCGTTTGCGTGCTGGTTTCGGATTAGCAAAACACTCGAGCACCGGCTCGGCCCTTCTCTACCTTGCGTTCCGCGCTCCTTTCAAACACCACATTCACGTCTACTGTGCTGCAGGTGGTACAAAACGCAGTTCTTGCCCTCGGGGCGCTCCCACTCTTAGGAGTCCCGTGACCCCAGGAAGGGCCGACCGAGGGTACGGGCGGCGCCTGCGGCGGGAGGTCAGAGTTCAACAGGGTGCGGCGGCGCCGGCTCTGGGTGGGGCGGGCGGAAAAGCTCGGTGGAGGGCTGGGCTGAGGCCTGGAGCTGACGGGGGAAGGGCATTCCAGGTGGAGGAAACTCCAAAGCAATGCTCAGAGGACAGAGACAGGGTCTGCGTAGCAGCCTCTTCGCTGCCAGAAAAAGGGTGGGTCGGAGGGCCAGAGGGCCGGCGCAGCGGGCCTTGAACGCTAAGATGAGCCCCCCTCCCAGGATCTTAGTGTGGAAAGTACTGCCAGGGTTTGCCATCGTCTCTTCTATTGTAAGGCGCCACCCCTCCCCGCTCCCCGGCACAGCCTGCAGGAAAGTGACAATCTTTCCCCTTCTCCACCGCCGGCTCGCTAGGGGAGATGGCTTTCAGGGACCCTAGAAGCCCAGTGGGCGTAGGGCAGCCTCTTTCCTCTGCCCTGCCGCGCTCACAGAGGGGACCCGGCTGGCAGGGAAGGTAACCAGGGTTCGGAAAGGAAGCAGACCCTCCGGGCAGCTTCCGGATCGTGCCGCGGCGACGCGGCGGGAGATCTGTTCACGGCTTGTCCTCGGGTCCAGCCTTTCAAGGAATCTTGGCCAGAGGACAGCCCGGGCCTAGCATGGGGGGAGGAGTAACCTGCGCTACTCCATGGGGACACCCAGGACCATTCCATGGAGATGGCAGTGCTAGGGTGGACAAAGCGGCCGTAGGGCCCCAGGGCTTGGAGCAACGTTTGCTGCATTCCACGCCGGTCTGCCGGGCCGCTTCAGCCGAGAGAGCCCTTGGCCCTGGTGCCCAGACGCGGCATCCATACCTGCGCACCTCCTTCTTCCTCCCGTCGGGCTCACCCCACACAACTCGGGTTCCCCGCCCTTGGCCCGCCGCAGTGACTGGTGGCTTCCTCCTCCCCCGCATCCCTCCCCCGTGGCCTCGCGCTCTGGGCTTCATAGATCCGCCTGCCTCGACCCCCTCCGCCGGCCAATTCCCAGGAAAACTGTTAGGTTTCCTCTCCTGCCTGCTCCTGTCCGGCCTCCCCTACTTCAACCCCACTGCTCACAGGCAGGCCCCAGGTGAGAGACCACCCGCGCCTCTCTGGCCGCGTGGACAGCGCAATTCAGACGGTGAGGCAGAGCCTGGGAGGCAGCCTGGCGACTGAACTCTCAGAGCCCTCCGCGCCTCAACTCGCCCAGCAGACCCTCCTCCGAGGCCTTTCCCGGACAGCTGAGTTTCTCCACACCAGTTACTGCAAGTCGCGCCTGGATCTGCCCTAGTCGCGCTTATGGAGCCCAGCGGCCTCCCTAAAGGCGCCGCTGCCCCGCCTGCTCAACGGGGTGGTGGCAGCAGTTCTCCTTAGAGCGAAACCTCTCCCGGAGGCAGGGGTAGGGGCCAGAGGAGGGCCCAAGACCTCTCACACCCGGATCATTCTATCTAGAATGGGCAAACCCACCAGTTTCAGGAGAAAAATGCTACCTCTAGTCTAAGGACGTCAGTGGTTTTCGTTGGAACGGGGGAAATGCCATAAGGAAAACAAAACTCTCCACTCTCTTGTCCTTAGACCAAGCAAAGGGCTGTGGAAGACAGGGATGAAAATACTAACCCCATTAAGAACAAGGTTACCTTATCCTCCTCCCACCATACACAATCCCATATCAGCATAGACTAAAAGGAAGAGTTCAAGGGATTCATTTGTAGAAACTACACTGTTTGCAGAAATCCCCTCTCCCAATTGCCTCCTCTGATGACAGACCCGGCAGCCTGGGAGTGACAGCCCCAGTTCTCACACAGAAGGCAGTTAACTTTTGGGGACGCTGAGGAAATTCCCTAAAATCCTCTTTTCTGGCCTCCTGCAATAGAAGTCAATTTGCAAAGGCCAACCTACTAGAAAAACACACTGTGGCCTTGGAACATGCACACCCCGTGTCTGGGCCTCAGTTTGCCCATCTGCACATTAAGGAGGTTGAACTCCCAAATCTCTAGGGTCACTTCTGGGTCTGAGGGTTTATGAGTGCATGTGTTGAAATGGCAGGGGAAGGAGGGAGACATCTTATTTCTGGGTTGACTCCAGCAGTCACCCAGTGGATGAGCATCCTTGGAGGAGACCGTGCTAAAGACAATTGTGTGGTAATAAGGTGGGAACAGGGAGTGCAGGGGGTCCAGGGGTGCAGATCTGAGCTGGAGCCAGTACAGATGTATGTATAGTGTCACATGGATTCTGCCCCTGCAAGCCCAGGGCCAGGAAGGTAGGCTAACTTCTTGACTTCTTTGAGACTTTCCAGTAAGCACTTTTTCAGGAGCTCAGAGTTGCTCCAGACAATGGGAACTGGGGCCTAACCTACCCCAAAGGCAAAGGATGCAGATGACAGGATTGGCCTGCTTCTTTGGCTGGAAGGCTGAGGTGGCCAGGATCCACGAAGACAGACTGCCTGACCCACCTGTGGCTACATTCTTAGAACAATGGGTGGTGGAGACCTAGCTCCAGATACTGCCCAGCCAGCTTCGAATCTTGGGCACTTTCAGGCACCGTCCAAAAGAGCAGAAGGGCCTGGAATAAGCCCCCACTTGCACTGCCCTCCAGCTGGGACCCGATTTCTAGTTATCTGATTTAGGCTTGAGCACTGCTTTCCAAGACTAGACAAATTGGGAGAGAGGCAACATGGGTAAGAGGAGTGCAAGAAAGGAAGAATCTTGGGGCAGGGGTTAGGCACACACACCTACATCTGGATTGTTTCAGTTTTCCCTTACATGTAGGTACACACAACCCCGCTGCTCCAGTGGGTGGGGTAGGGAGCCCTGTCTCCCAGCTTAACACAACTGCAAGTCAAAACCAGGTCGGTCTTGAAAGGAGACCTACCTAGATTAACTCGCCCCCGCCTTCCCCCTCCCAGTGTCTCCCGCCCTGTCTTTGCCATCCCCTCAGTCCCCAGAAACCGTGGAATCTGGATCCCGCTAGTTGCGCCCAACCAGGCGAGGGAGAAGTTTAGGGGCGCACAGGAGCAGGACCCCGGAGGTGAGAAGAGCTGCGGTGGCCGCACTTACCTGCCTCGCGCTCCTGTTGGGAGGGTTGAGAGGGCACCGCAGGTTGCTGGCAGGGCAGGTAGGAGTCTCCGGGGATCGCTGGCGCGGTGTAGGAGTAGGGCAGGAGAGGGCCGTATGGCCCAGAATAGGGCAAATCGGAGGCAACTGCGGTTGCCGGGGGCAGGCCAAGCGGATAGGCAGCCACTACTGATGCGACGGGGGCGATGGCCGGGAAGATGGCTTTGGGGACGTCTCGGCCAGGGAGGGGGCAGGGCAAAGAGGTCATTGCGGCCGGGGCCGGGGCCGAAGGGTCTAGGCCATGGCTTGGCACGTAGTCCGCTCTCTCCGCCAACTCTATTTTTTCTGAGCCTCGGGCGTTGGGGCCGGATGAGCCCCCCCAGCCAGCCTCCCCCACACTTAAGATCCCTGGAAAATGTCTCTCTGAGCCTCTTCCAGCGGAGAGCGCGCGCCTGGGAAGGGGGCTCCAAGTGGGTATACCCCCATGGCTTTTCCCCTCCCCCCTAAATCCATGGGGCCCCCCTCGTCTTGCTCTGGAGTTCAGTTCCCGGGAACCGACGGGAGATCCGCCCACCTAGATGCTGCGGATTGGCTACCGCATGCGGTGACCTCACTGAGGCTGGAGATCGGGCCGCCCCACCGGGCAGCCCGAGGTAGGGAAATTCAGAACCGGGAGCTGGGAAGGCGCTGTGCCCAGCTAGTTATCCAGTCCCAGCTATCTCAGGGTCTTCGAGAACGGTGCTGGGGTGGTAGGATGATTGGGCAGTCTGGGAACCTCGGCCCTAATGGCAGAATGCGAGGGAGTTGGAGGGGCGAGAGGCGCAGCACAGTGGAGGGGGCCCGGCGGCTGCGGGGGCGCAGGGGACCTGTGGCGCGCTCTCCAGCAATCTCTGATGTGCAGCGGTTCTGACCCCGCCGCCACGGAACCTGCAGCGGAGTCGAGACCAAACAGCCCGCGCCGGCAGCTTATTCAACACGTCGGAATGCGTCGCTGCCCAGCGCCTGCAGTTTGTTGGTAAACAGACGCTGGGTCAGGGAGGTACCTCCCCGCGCCCAGCCTGCCCCGCACGCGCGCGGCGAGCACGCCCCCGTGGGGCGCCCTCTGCCTGGCACGCCGCGACCGCCGCGACTGCGCCTCGCCGCACCCCGAGCCCCCTCCCGGCTTCCGCTTCCGGCAGGGGCCCTGGTGTGGTTGCGACATCGCAGCTCCTGCAGGCTCCCGAGGCCCCAGGAGGGATCCTGCGTCTGGACTTTTGCCCATGCGGCGCCTCGCCTTTCTTGGCGCCGCGTGAGGCTGAAGCCTTGCACGCACCGAGACAAAATCCGGGAGTGGGAGGAGAATCCAGTTTGATGGCTCCTCGGAGGACGAAGGAAATCCAACAGGGCCGTCTGGGCGGCCGCATTTTCCATCCCGTGTGCAGGACCTGCTTCTAAATATTATATATTGTATACACGTATGCAAGTATCTATGGCCACAGATACACGATTACACAGAGACGCAATTCAAGTACAATATATATACTCCCATATACCAACACATAGGTGTCTACACCGATGTTAATTTAACATTAGCTTCCAACCATGAACAGAAAGGTTCATTTATGGGCCTGCATATACAGAGTATAGGTTGTGATGTGTATATATCCACATACTGAAAGGTGGATAGCAGTGTTCCGGAATAAAAGCACTGTATTTGTCTCCTACACAGACCCACGGCTAAGCAAATAGAATTGTCAATGGAGACACTTGAAAAATACAGAAAATCCAAGCTTATAAGCGTTTATGCCTGTGTATTCACCCTATGAGAGTTAATGAGAGTTACTGGTCCACACACATCTAAACTGCTTCATGTTAGGGGAGAGACAGTTACACCCCCAAACGCACCAGTCCTCAAAGACCCCAGCACACCCATATATACATACCCTTTCTTGCTTGAGTATGCAGTTGGGGTGGGCTTATTCATATTTGTACACACGTGTGCTCACACTGTCGGGGCTCAGAGTGACAGCAGCAATCTTAGAATTGCGGGTGGGTGTGGGAGAAGACTACAATTAGAGAAAGAGGGAGACTCCGAAGAATAAGAGAAGGCACTGGAGGGTGGCAAGGCTCAGGCCTCCTTGGAAAAGACGGGAAGATCAAAGCAGTATGCAGGAGTGGTCGAACCACCCTTTCAGGGGTTTGGGGGCAGGAAAAGTAAGTTGGCTTCAAACTGGACTCCCCTCTGGAATGGATAGAGCTCTGAGCTCTATCCTGGCTCTGAGCTCTCCACCCTGAAGCCTTGGAGCTTCCGGAGAAGGGGCTCTGGAGGGGAGCACCCTCCTTGGAGTAGAATCCATTTGTCTCATCCAACAGGGTATAAAGGCTTTACTCAATTGAGAAAAGCCATTTCCCCATGGGACCACCTTTACCCAACTCCAGGAGTACCACCACCTCCTGAGAGCTGGGGCTATGAATTTGTAAGGATATATCCTTCCATACCTTCCTTTCTGCCACCTCGATCTTCCTCTGGATGGAGACAGTCACAGAACAGTGCCATGGACGGAGTTTGCACCAAAGTAAGAAAATGCTCTTTGGAATGGGATTAGCTGTCAGGGAAGGTTTCACAAAGGAGATGCTTTTGGGGTATACCTGAAAGGATGGGGGGTAGGAAGACACTCCCTCCGCACCCACCAACCCAGCCAAGTACCCAGAGTCCCTGCTGTGCCAGACCTAGCGTGACCGCAGGTAGGCAGAGGTTTTTCTGGCAGGCCTCCCTTGCAGCTGACTTTGGGCATTCTCCAAAGCTGGGAGACCCCTCTCCTAAATCTCAGGGGTCTTCACTGAACTCATGCAGGATCCTCACCCCCATGCAGTGGTGAGAAATACTCTGCAGCCCTTCAGAATTTATGAAACACAACACCACAGGGCCTGTGCATCTTCACCAAAAAAGCCTGTGAATTAGGTACTATTATCCTTGGTTTACAAACTGGGAGACATCTCCCTCCAATCATCACTTTGCACTTCAGGGCTCTCTTTCCATACATGGAAGGGTGTGGGCCTGGGGTGTCTGGTTGGGAAACCTTGTGGTCTCAGAATGCAGACTCCCTAAGGATGAGGCCACATCTCACCAACTTCAGGGCCTGGGTTAGAGAGGTGACAGGAAAGGGGTTGGCGCGGGGGGGCTAGGAAGGGCTGTAATGTGTTTGATCAGAGGAGAGGGAGGGCTGGCTTAATGCCTGCATTCTCATTCCAGCTCAGCCGGCACTCTGGCTCTGATAGACTCCCATCTGAGTCTCCTGTTAGGAGAGACACAAGGAGGTGACTGCACATAAGACCTCCAAACCTTTGTCATTTTTGCTTTAGAATGAATTGCAAAAATTACACTGAGGAGGAGAAGGAGGAGGAGGAGGGGCGGGAGGAGAGGAAGGTGGGCAGTCAGGCAGGCAAAAACCCAACTGTCTTGTCACGACCAGTATCTCAGCCTCTGACTTGTCACAAAAGCCAGAAGTGGCTCTCCCACGTTTCTCACACAGGTCCTCTGCCATAGGGAAAGGGGCCCGCTTGGAGAACCCCAGCACCGGAGTGCCGCCCTGAGAGCCACAGAGGGTCCCGTGTCGGGGGACAGCGCACCACCGTGGTCCCTGCTGCCGGCCGAGGCGCAGCGACTGGACTGGTCCTTATCATCTGCACGGTGCACGGTTGTTCGCAGGCTCTGCGCCGGTTGACGGGCAAAGGCAATCAATCCCATCCAATCCCGTAATGATTTATTTGTGCAGAATACACGTTCGCGGCGCTAGGGATGTGAGCTTTGCTTTAGTCACCCAGGTTCTGACTCTCCCCTGAAGCACAGAACTTCATCCGAACCAGTGCCCCTTTCGGGTGGTACACGATCCAATACTCCGAACACGTGGTGGGTGCACAGGGTTCTCCGCGTCCTCTCTGGGCTCGGTACCAGGACGGTGGCACGCTCCCGAGCAAAGACTGGGCGTCTGCGACTCCAGCCCGGCGCCGGGGTCTGTAGCCCGGTGCACAGTCATCCCAGCACCCGTATGGATCTGCCCTGGGGAACAGAGATTCCTCCGCTACCCCAGTCCTCGGCCCTAGGGGGCCCCCGCGGGATTATCAAGCCCTTTCTCCTCTATAGCACCCATCTTCCCCAAACGAAATTTTTGTTTAATTTGTCCCTTTTCAGTGAAAGTTAAATCCGTTTTGGAGGGTCTTTCGTATTAACTCGGTTTGGGGAAACATTGTGAATAATTCAGTTTGGGGGGGTGTTGGGAGTGGAATTCCTCCCTTCTCGAAGCTGGGTGCGCGGTAAAGCCCCGGTACCTGGCGAGGCCCGGGGAACCCACAGTCTATAGAAGTCTGCGTGCCCCGCCACACACACTCCGATTTGACTTTTTCTGAAATTTTGAGTTATGATGTCTCTTTTCTTTCTGATCGAGCGGTTAATGAGCGCGGAGCAAGCGGGGCGGCAGGCTGGTTACTGAGCTCACCGCCAGCCTGGCTGCGCCCTTGGATTTGCGCCCACCTCCGTGCTCGCCCGCGTTTTCTCTGCGATTAGCGTTCCCGCCTCATCTTCCAGGTAACCCTGGGAGAGGCGGAGGGGAGATCCCGGTGCGCTCAGCGCGCGGGCTCCCCGTGAGGGTCTCCCGATGGGTCCTCAGAGACGCTGTCTCCGCGTCTTTGACCCACTTCCAATCCCAGCCTCTTCAGGAGAAGGCTTACCTTTAGGATTGACTGGGACGTTTAACATATACGTACATGAAGTCACCAAACACGTTAAAAACAGAACAAAACTATGAACCAGTCTTGGACCAAGTACCTACCCTCACCCCACCAAAAAAAAAGAAACGTTAACAAAAAGTGGGGCGCTCCTGTGGGTTGGAGGCGACGCCCTGCCCGGCCAGGAGCCACGCGGCTGACTCCCGGCTTTGTAGTTCGGAATGTTTCTCTTTCCCCAGAAAAGGGTGGGTCGGGTGCTCCATCCTGGTCGGGGCTGTGGAGTCCGGGCTGAGCGCGGGAGCGGCCGGAGCCCCGGCTGGGGCCGCGGGAGTTCTGCGCCAGGGGTCCCGGCCCCGGGCCACCGGGCCTGATGGAGGAGCCTGAACCCCGAGCCGGGGTCAGACGGTGGGCCCGCGCGCCCCGGGCCGGGAGAACGCGGAGCCCTGGCGGGAGGCTAACCCGGTTACAACGAATTCGCTGCGCCCCGAACGAAGTCTGCTCTGCCGCGTTCTTCAGACTTTTCCAGAATCTAGCACGGGAACTCGAGCGTTCCGCCCAGGCCTCTGTTGCCCGGTTTCGGGCTGAAGGCCGAGGTGGGACGTGGGGGAGTGGGATGGTGCATCCTGCGGGCACGCGAAGAGGGTTTGTGTGCGGGCACCCAGCGTAGAGCACACGCTCACACCGCAAACACCTGCCCGGTAACCCGGCAGTCTACACTCCACGGGCAACCACACAACACCCACAGCACAGCGCAACCTTATCACACACACAAAACTCACAGAGCATCGCGCGCGCGCGCGCACACACACACACAGACACACATTGCAGGACCCCTAGACTGGGGGGAGGTCCTTGCGGGTGGGGTTATTGGTTGCACTCTCTCACTCCTCCCGACTTTGCAGTTTGGACTCTTTCTCTTCCCTCAGGAAAGGGTAAGTAGGGTCCTGCATCCTAGTACTGGCTGTGGAGTCAGGGAAAAGGGGACAGCCTTACCTCTGCTGAGCTCACCTAGGAGAATGAGGCAATACTGCCTTGGGGAGGACAGCAGGACCACCACGTGGGCGCCACAGAGGCAACGGCACTCCCTTGCCTCCCAAATGAGAAAAATAATCACAAATACAAAACCACCACCACGGTGCAGCTGGCCTGGTGTGGGGAAAGAGTAGAATGCAGGGAGGGTGAGAGGTAAGGATTCCACCCACCCTCTTCCCCTCTCCTGCAAACTCTCCCTTACCTGCTTAGTTATGGGGACAGGGTGCTAAGCCAAGAGCGGGCCCAGGCCCACTCTGTCTGATAATGGAGAGGGAGGTGGCTCATGCACCACCTCCGGCCCACATCTGCCCTCCACAGTCCAGCACCCTCATTAATTCCCATTGGAAAGGATCACACACTGGAAGTTCACCTGATGCCAGGAAACAGCTGGGGGACTCTGATGTGGGCAGGGAAGAGTTTGTATTTGCAGGGTGAGGTGGGGTCCCTGCGTGGGTCATGGCCTCCGCTGCACTGAGTTACCCATTTTCATCTTCTCAGACTAATTTGCTTCTCCACCCCTTGAACCTGTGGGTTGACCAGCACCTATCCAGGTTCCAACTTGGCTGAGGGAAGGCCCCCAAACTCTGGAGACAAAGCCCTCTCAAGCCCAAATTCTGGGTGTAATGTTCCCCAGAACTAGTGAGGAAGGGAAAGCTCTGACCCCTGCCCCACAACCAGCCCACCCAATGAGGCACTGGCTGCTTCAGTTGCTGTCCACAGAAAAGAGGGGTGGGTGGAAGGCCAGGTAGTGGTCCTCTGGCTGGTTGAGACACAGGGGGATCCAGGTGGAGGCACTGTTCCTGGGAATACCTCTAAGGAACCTTCTGGAGCCTTTGGGGGTAGAAGGGAAGTAGCAGTGATCTGAGGTCCTGTGTTTTGGGTAACACAATTATAATGATAAAAATAGCTAACACTTATTAAGTGCTCTCTGTGTTCCAGGCACTGTCCTAAGCCCTTGCCTGCATCATTTCGTTCACTGTGTTGATTCTATGAGGTAAGTATCCATATTATCCCCTCTTTACAGATGAGGAAATTGAGACACAAAAAGGTTGAGTAACTTGCCTAAGAGCTAGAATTAGAGCCCAGGCCAGCTGTCCTCTTCACTTTCACGGAGTTGTTTTACCTGGGAAAGTACCACTCAGCAAGGGCAAGGGGAAGGGCTGAGGAGGGAGAGGGAACCCCAGGAGAGGAAGGCCCTCTGGGATTGGTGGAAGGAGAATAATAGCAGCAATGGCCAGTATCTATGGTGGTCTTGTTACAATGCTTCACATGCATTTCCTCGTTGATATCTTCACAGAGCCCTGCAAGGGAGTCCTATTATTATCCCCCATTTTACAGCTGAGGAGACTTGAAGCACAGAAAAGGTGCTACAACACAGAACAGGCAGGGCCTACACACTTGGTTGGAAGGTAAGAAAGTGGGGAGAGAGCTGAGATGTCAGGAGAGCCAACAGTGGGGAGGGCCTCAGAGAGCTTAGAATAGGCCTGTGGGCAGTGGAGAGGACCTAGATGGGAGGGAGCTGAGAGGCTTCCCCTGAGCATCTCGGGTACCAGAGTGGGCTGGGAAGGGGAGAGTGGGTGGCAGAGAGCCTAGTGAGGAGGCCATTGCAAATAGTGGGGAGGGAGGGCCCAATGGGTTAGTGGCAGAGGCAATGGAAAGGAGGGGAGTTCTAGAAGGGCGGCTCAGAGACAAACTCTGCGGGGCCTGGTGACTGGACCGGAAGAGGGTAGAGGCAAGAATGACTCTGAAGTTCCTGGCTTAGGCAAGCAGAGGAGCCTGGGGAAGAAGCCATGTGTCTGGTTCAGATTCAGGCATTGATAGGCAGATGGACCATGGATGATGATTCCAGGTCTGGATGCCCCAGTAGGCAGCCAGTCACTCTGGTTTCCCTCCATGCCCTGTACAGGTGTCTTTCCCCGGGGCTCTGCCAGAGTACACAGGTGAAACTTGCATATATGCAGATGTATGCAAATAAAAGTAACCCAGCCTGGGCCCTGAGCCAAGAGCCAGGGGAGGGCGAGGGCCGCCTTAGCCCTGACTCACCCTCTGACATGCCGCCTGGAATGCCACCTCCCCAGCTGGGCTTCCTCCAACTTGGGGAACTTGCTCCTAGAATCACCCTGAAGCTCAGGCTCAGAAGATACAAGCTCAGAGGACCTGGGACACTAAGCTAAGTTTGGGGATTTTCTAAATCAGGGTAAGGCTTTTCTGAGTCCACCTTGCAAAATGGTGGCAGTGGGAAGAAGGCAAGAATAGCTGGGTACTGTGACATTTCATAAGTATACAGCACACATGGCATTCCCTGACGCATTTTCACTCATAGATCTTCATTGAGGCCTCATAGCAACTGGTGAAGTAGGTGGTTTATTAACCCCATTTTATAGCTGAAGACACTGAGGGTCATGTCACGAAGCACCTTGTCAGGGAAAACCTGGCCAGTGTGTAGAGAGCTGCTTTCCAATCCAGGCCTTCTGACTCAGTGCTCTTTCTACTAGTCTGTGGTTTGACGCTGGGCTGATGGAGAGGGAAGCTAATTCTGGAGTCTGGGGCTCCATATGGGGAATCACTGACCCTCAGGTATCCAGACAGTCACAGGAAAGACACCTCTAATCCTCTCTGTCATCAAGAACTTCAGCGAGTAAGTGAGCTCTTGTCTCCAGACCTGGGGCCACACCCCTCCTATCTGGCTGGACCATGCACCCCACTTCCAGCTGCTTCAAAATCCTCTGCAATGCAGTACTCTCTTCATAAGCAGCTACTAGGTACAGGATCTTTGTATGGCATGGTGGGAGATCAGACTAGGGCCCATCTAACACTGAATTTGGCTATTTCCATATGTTAATATTGTGAAATATATACATATATATATGTAACAAAGAGTGAATTAAAATACACACACACACAGAGCTAAGGAACACATAAACTGGATCTCCCAGTTGGCTCCCCAGGCCCGCTGAGTGACCCTCCTGGATCATAATTCTCTCCTCCACCTTGGTTTCTCAGCTTTTATGTTAATCACTTTCCTGCTTTCCTTGCAGTTTCATCACTGATATCTGCTTACTTTTACCAGTTGATGAACTTTACATGAATGCAATCACACTGTACATGGGATTCTTGCTCCCCTCACTTGACAGTTTGTAGAGTCTACGGCATCCTCTCCTGATGTCCCCATCCTGGACTGTAATCACCTTTCCGTTTTCCCTGGAGCATGTGTTCAGCTGCATTGTCCTTCAGATGCCCTGGGGTGGGTTTGCTGCATGAGGGCAGGGATGGGGTCATCTACCCTGATGAACACAGTATCCAGCGCAGGCCAGGATGTGATAATAATTACTCAGGATACAAGCAAGCACTGAACAAATGAATGAGGATGAGTGAAATGGTGTACCTCCGTTTACATTTATGAGAAATCCCAGGTGCAGGGGTAATATAGGAAGCCACGGGTGACATTTAGAATGTAGGCTCCTGCCAGAGGGCCCCTTCTCCCTCCCTACCCACCTGCTGCTCCTCAGGGATGAGAGGCTCTAAGTGGTAGCCTCTCGCTAAGTCCTGGGCCTTTCCACCATACAGCTAGGGCTGGGGAAAGCACACCAGCTTGGGAGCCAGAAAGATCTGAATTCTAATCCCACCTCCACATCTTATTGACTTGGGTGAATAAAATATTCCCATGCCTCAGTTTCCTCATCTGTGAAAGGGACATAATAATCCCAACCTCACAGGGTTGTGAACATTCCGTAAGTAAGCGACTATTGCATAGTAGGTGTTTTACCTGCGTTAGCTCCTCTTCCTCTTTCTATTGGGTCCTTTGGCTCAGCCATAAGAGATATATACCTGTCCCCATCTCTTAATCTACCAGGAGGCCAATGTGATGAAAATGTTTTAATTCCCAGGAGTCTTAGTAATTCCCAGGAGGTACACTCCCAAGACAAAATCCTTCAGCAACTTATCCTCCCTGTGCCCTGCATACCGAGGTGCTCAGAACGGCCTTCACTCTCCAGATAATCCTGAAGCCACCCTCAGCTCCTCCTAAGCACAGGAACACTTTTGAAGGTCTGGCCCTTCAGTAGCATGTAGAATACTTTCACACTGAGGGTCTAGCTAATCCTCACCAGCAGGGCAGGTGGGGCAAGTATTGCTGTCCCCATTTCACAGATGAAGAAACCGGTGCTTGGAGCAGCTCAGGGCCCTGCCCAACATTGCACAACCAGTGAGGGGCAGAACTGGGATTGGAACCCCAGCCTCCTGACTCCAGGGTTCTTTGGGTTTTTCCAGACCAAGCCCGACTGTCTCTTGTAGGTGAAGGAGGAGACAGGGACGGAGTTTTTAGGGCCTCTGGCCATGTGCGGGAGTGGTCACAGTGAAGCCCAGTTCTCTACAGGCGGGTACCATGATGACGGGAGTCAAAAGCTGGAGAGGTTTAAGTCAACCGGCCCCATGGAAAGTAGGCGAAATGGGGACATGAGAGTCGTTTGCAAAAGCAAGAAGGGCTTCAGACTAATTCCACATGATTTTTGAGGCCAGAACGCTGAGAAACCAAATAGAAGTTGGAGGAAGGTGGCTTTAGTTTCAATAGAAGGGAGATACTTTTAATCATGAGTGCTCTCCCAAAGGGGCACGTTCTCCACCGCCGTCTTAGGCACCAACTGCTTCCACCTTGTACAGAGCAATTATTTCACCCTTTATTTCCTCTGTCAGGATAAGGCGCTGTGGGGGCAGGGTCACCTCTCTTTGAGCTTTGCTCCCTCCAACATGTGGGTGAACAACCTGTCCTCAGTGCTTGAGAGTCCCCATCTCTGGAGGCATTCAAGCAGAAGCTGGGGACTCTTCAAGATGTGGTTGAGAGCCTGGGCAGTGGAGCAGACGGCAGTAGGCTTGAATCCCCGTTCTGCTGCTTGGAGAGGTGGCTTAACATTTCCGAGCCTCGTTCTCATCTGTAAAATGGCATTAATACTTACCACATAAAATTGCTGTGAGGATCAAATGGCATGCTGTAAGTGGCCAGCAGAGCAGCCAGCACATGGGAAGCTAATAATGTAGCTTTTTCGGATGATGCATGTGGTTATGGGGCTGTATCACAGGCTAGAGAAATGGGGTAGGTATCCACTAATGTCCCTCCATTTCTGACAACATGATTCCATTCTGTAAGCATCAGGAAAGGAGCTAAGTAGAAACTAGGAAGTAGACTGACTCAGTGGAGGAGACTGTGTTCAAAATAAACAGAACCCCCATTCAGAGTCCCAGCTACTTAAGACTGTCCCATGGACTTTTCCTACCAGGCCCCAGGTCTAGTGTTGGGATCTGGTTTTTGGAGAACCTGGAACCCGGGCATCATTAGTCCTGGAAAAGGTACCAACTGTCCGCAAACAGCCCAGCCCACTCTGGAAGCCTGGCCTCAGCCAAGAGCAGCACTTGAAAATTCTGATTCTGCGGTCACCTTCCCTAACCACAAGCCCTTCATCAGCCCAAGCCTCTAAACCAGCCAGGTGATGTGTCACCGCCTGGAGGGTGTTGGTGTGGCAGCACCTGGGGTTAAAAGGGACCCTCAGTTTCCAGCAAAGTTTCATAGTCTTTGTTAGAGCTGGGAGGAAACTCAGAGGTCCCCCAACCAGAGAGTCTAAATTACTGGAATCAAGAAGGTCTGGAATGGGCCTGGAATCTGAATATTAATAAGCACACACCCCACCGCATGAGAAATGGTTTGGCCCAGCGACCTTGCCCTCGTGGAGAAGCTGAGCCTGAGAGGGGACATGACTGGCCCACGATGACAAGAGAGAACTGGATGAAAGCCTGGCTCTCTGGACCCTGGCATAGGATGTTTTCCAACCCAGCTGCCTGTCAAGTCTCACTTGGCAGGAGCTGGGGAGGGAGAGTTCCCACCGAAGTCTTTCGTGAGTCTGTCCCCCCATGTCTCCTTCAGAGGTCCTGTCAATCACACGAGAACCATCCACTCTCCTGGAAATGGCCTCTAAAAAAAATGAGGTTGAAGAGTCTTGGACTGCCCAGGGCCTCCCCAAGGCCAAGGTGAGGGACCAAGACAATGTTTGGGGCTATATCCATGGAGGGTCACACATACGGAAATAACCACTACATTGGTGGAAAATTTTGGTCTGATTGAGAATAACCTCTCTATGCACCAGCGCCTAGCACAGCACCTGGTACAGGGGAGGATGAGGGATGTTGAATAAACAGGTGATGCTTAACGTGGATTGGAGTCAATCATCTCCAAGGCTAATGCCCCTCCCCCCAGTGGCAAGAGGTGTGGGGGTGGAAGAGGGTGGACAGGGAGGTGCAGCCAAGGGGAGGGAGGGCAGAAGCTGGCAGCTGTGAATTGGACACCTTGCCATTCCCACCCAAGGGCCAGCTCCATGAGGCCTCAGCCCCAGCCGTTCTGTGAACAGTACAGGTCTCTGTGATGGTGTGCATGAGGTGGGGCTGTTGGCTCTGTGACTGTGTAACTGAGACTGTGTGTGTGACTTTTGTGGCTTGGGTGTGACTGCGCATTGTGTGCGATCTGTGCAGCTGTGGGCTGCATGTGACTGGCAGTGTAGCTGTGTGTTTGTGTGACTGTGTGTGGAGAAATGGGTGTTGCCTATGCAGTATTGCATGTGTGGTTCTCAGAGACTGGTTTCTAGGGCAGCTGAGTGATGGGTGTGTGCACGTGGCTGTGTGTGCAGTTGTGTTGCTCTGCGCCTCTGGGTGGAGACAGCTGTTCTGGATGTATGCGACTGCGTGGGACACTAACAAGTCTCCAAGTGTGCCTGTGTGTCTGACTGTGCAATTGTGTGCATCTGTATGACTGCCTGGTGGTGTTGCGTGTTGTATGTGTAGCTGGGTGAGGTACGCTCAACTGTGTGTGTGTCACTGTGTGTCCCTCAGGTACTCGGTTGTGTCATTGTGTGTGACTGTGACTGTGTATGAAGCAGCATGCCCCTCAAACCACCTTCCTTGGGTTGCTTTGATGTGGTTGAGTGTTTAGGGGCCCTGAGGACGCCTGGCTCACTCTTGAGGACTTCAAAAGATGGCTGTCCTTTCTGCCCAGTGGGGGAAAATCCCAGTTCCCCCTCATACTTACCCTCTTCTCCTGCCTGAAGGAGAGGCCTGTTTGTTTTCCTATTTTTACTGCCTCGGATGAGTTCATGGCCGCAACTGACTCACCGCTCTTTCCAAGAGACTTGGGGAAGGAAATAGGGGTTGCTTGGCTGGGGCCTCTGCCCACTAGCCCGAGGACTTTCAGAGCAGGGCCAAGGGAGACATTTGGATCCATCTCGGGCTATGTGAGCATCTCAAGCTGTTCGCCCTCCCTGAGCCTGGAAAGTCAATGAGTCTTCAGAAGTCACTGCCTAGTTCCCGGCTCCCGCCCCAAATGCGAGGCCCCTCTCCTTATCTAAGAGTTCTCCCTTCTCTTTAGTCACAGGTTAATTGAAAAGTAGGTTGGAGCCCGGGAGGTGCATCTGACATCACGCAGGTCCATGTCACTGCAGGTGATTCAAGCAGTAGCAAGAACGCCCAGACTCAACAACACTGTTTGGACGCCCCCTATGGGCAGAGGCTGCCCAGACTGAAAGAGGCGGAGCGACAGCAAGGATGCCAGTTGGGTGTGATGGGAGAGACACCATGGCTGTCCCAGGGACCACCCCCCACCCAGTCTTTTGGGGGAGTCAGAACCCTCCAATGCACAGTTTCTGAGACAAAGAATAAGGAGAATTTGAATTTATCGCTCCCTGGGCTGGGAGAAAGGTCTTGTCCCCAGTCTGAGGAAGAATCAAAGAAGGCTTCTAGAAGGGGCGGCGGGGACCTGGTGCAGGCTGGAATGGAGAGTGCATCCTGGAGGGTGGGGAACTGGGAGCCCCTAGAGATGAAACACAGGAGGCGAGGAGATGTGGGAAGGCCCAGATGGCATTATCCTTGTGTGAGGTGACAAGGGAGGGCTTGGGCTGGACTGTCCACATGGCAGAGGAGCTCTGCCTAAACAGTCTGTAGAAAGGAAGCTCCCACTGGCATCTCCCTGATCCCTCCAGCTGCAGCCAGCATATGGCCACCCACGTGCGGTTATACAGGAAGGAGCTCTGAGGCTGGGGATCATCCCTTCCCTTGCCCCAGCCTTGGGGGCCAACACCCCAGCTGCATTTCCAGCCATCTTGCCTGGCCTCAGGCCCCCACATCCGATCTGCAGGGTCCCCTGCCAGGCTCTTACCAACCAGTGAGTGAAGCTGTGAAAGCTTCCCACCACTCCCACCCTCCTGGCCCACTGCCTGGGAGGGCTTCCTGCTCTTGAGACTGGCTAACTCACCAGAACTACTCCTTCACCTGCCTGGCCCTAGCCTGAAATTCTCTCACTTCAAATTAGGGGTGTTTGGGCCACCCTTCTGGAAGAATTGAGAAGAGCCTCAGACAAAGGGGTCAGGAGGCTGGGCTTTGGGGAACTCACTGGGAAGGCATTTAGCCTCAGTTTCTCCGTCTGCAAAATGGGGCTAATGGCGCTTGCCCTGCTGGGTTCCCAGAGCGGGTGGGGAAGGTTGCAGTGAGCTCATGGGTGTGAAGGCCCTGGTGAGCCATAAATAGTGCTTGTGGGAGGGAAAGATGGAGGGAGGGAAGCTGTTATTCCAGCTGGGCCTGGCTGCCTGCACCCAGGGCTTGGCCAGTCAGGGGCTGGGGAACCATGAGGGTCTCTGCCAAGTACCAGCAACTGGAGAATTTGAGGCTGGCGCCCCAGTGAGAGCTGGGGGCAGGTAAGGCTCTGCAGAGGCCACACCAGGGACAAGTGCTGGGGTGGCAGCAGTGGGGTCTGTGATGTGAGGGCTTTGGGCAAGTCACTTGGACAAATGGCTCTGAAGAAACTGCTTTTGGGAAGATGGGGGAGAAACCTGAAGTCACCAGTGACATCACCCTCTGCCTCTCTTGACATCCTACCTCTGCAGGGAGGGGGTGGAGATGCCTTCTTCTCTGCCCCTCTGTTCCTAAGCCCTGGTAACTGGAGGCTGAGCATGTTAACTGGTATAAACTCAGGGGATTAGCTGAGGCATTTTCTGGAAAATTCTGGAGCTGCAGCCAGTTCCCCAGGAGAGTCCTGCTGTATCTTTCACTAGCCTGTCAGAGAGGTGACTCCAGACCTTTTTTCCTTCTCTTCAAATAGGCAATCCTATATGCCTTTCCCCCATATATTCCTCACCGCCTCTAGCCCATCTGCCCACTCTCTCCCTCTGCATCTTCCCCTTGACCTCCCCACTGAGACTTTAAACAGGCTACTCTCTGAAATACTTCTCCCCCAGGATACCCCCTCAGCCTCCCATCAAGTCCTGCCTCTGTTAATTTCTAGCCAAGTGATCCCAGTCACGTCATTAAACCTCTTTGAACTTCAGTCTTCCCATCTGTGAAATGGGGGCTAATCCCACTTCCCAGAGTTGTGAGAATGAAGAGATAACATATAAAGCACCAAACTCCAGGTGAAAGTTCCAACTCCCTTCCCAGAATCCCTCCAACGCCTCAGTTTGCCTTATACCAATTCCCCCTATTTATTGCTTTGTAACAAATAAAAAGACACATTTACTGTGCACTTACTACATGTTTAGCACTGTAACAAGCTCTGGGGAGGTCCAGGGAGGGTTCTCTGCCCACCTGGAAACAGTTACCAGCCTGGGTGGACAGGTGACATCACAGACACAGAACATCCAATCACTTTGACAGCACATCTATCATGCCAGCCTAAGGGAAGGGCAGGGTTTGGGGGTATACAGACAATGATCAGGGCAGGAGTGGTTCAGGGGTCTTCCTGGAGAAGGGGGCCTTGCAGGATAAGCAGGATGGGCAGATGGCACAGCAGAGGGATGTCCATGGTGTGCTCACTGGGCACACAGGAGTAGAGTGTGGGAAAGCTTGGGAGTGAAGACTGGGACTAGCTCAGGCCAGATACTGGAGGCCTTGGAGGGCCAAACAGAGGAATTTAGATCAGACACCATAGGGAACAGGGAGCCACAGCAGGTTCTTGAGCAGAGGAGTGAAGGTTGAAAGGGAAAAGATGGGCTTCCTATTTATTAAGCATCAACTGTATTCCAGATTTTTGCTAGGTGCTTATTATGTTTTCCTGCTTAATCCCCAGGCAGCCTGGTGAGATAGGTATTGTTATCTCCGTTTGATAGATGGGGAAACTAAGACTTGAAGGAGCTAAATAGCTTCCCCAAGAACATAGAATTGAAGGAGAAGTGAGACAACTGAAATCTCCTAACTCCAGAGTCCACACACTTGCCAGCACAACGCAGTTTCCTCCAAAGTGAGTGGGGGTTAGACTTAGGCAGGACCCTTCTTTGTTGTCCTGCCCCACTGATCCATTGGTGGAGTTTGCTTCAGGGGCTGGGAGCGTTTGGGCACAGGGGAGGGGAAGCTGTCTCTTAACCTGAAGCTGCTTATAGGATTGGGAGGACTCGGACCAGACAGGGAACTGCTTGTCTCTGGTCACCGCACAGAGACAAGTCTGGGGGGCCGGGGGTAAGTGAGAGGGAGCAGTCAGAGGTGACGCTGGCTCGAAAGCATGCCTGCCCCAGAGAGCAGGAGGGTGTTGACCGGACTGGGGAAGCCAGAGCAGGTGGCAGGAGGATGAGGTGTTGGGTTTGGAACACACTGGGCCTGACGCAGTGAGCTGAGCGGAAACCAGGCCCGGCTCTGAGCTCCGTGGGGAGGACTGACCTCGAGGACTTCCCAGGCACTATTTCCTGTCCCCTTGACTGTGGACGCTCTGAGAATGGGCCCTGCGGTTCCTCCTTCCTTGGCTTCCCCAGTGGCCCTCAAAGTGGGGCCTGGGAGCTTCTAGGAAGGTGCTGACTGGAAGCCTACCCTCCCATCTTCCCACCCCCCTCCTCCTCCTCCCTCGGCCCTCTGAGGGCTGGCAGCCAAAGGACCAGACCCCTTCTCTGCACCCCTACAAGGACTGCTGGGCTGGGCCTTGTTTGTACCACCCCTGCCATATCAGGTCCTGCCTCTGTCAGTTTCTAGCCAAGTGACCTGGGTTAAAGTCTCCCTCCTACCCCAGGTCATATATTTATTCAACAGCTATCTCTGGAGCACCCACTATGCCAGGCCTTGCTCTGGGCCCTGAGGATACAGCCATGTCCTCAGAGAGCTTACATTTCTAGTTGGGGAGACAATAACCAAGTAATTAAAGAGAAATTCATTT